GCTTAATTTAATAGCAGGCCTAGGAAGTTATCTTTACCATCCGAACCAAAGGCGTTTTCGATCTATTCCGGGCTAATTGGGAGTTGTGCAACGTCTGGTATATATATATATATATATATATAGCTAGCATTATACACATTACTCATCGCTTAATAGCAGGCCTAGGAAGTTATCTTTACCATCCGAACCAAAGGCGTTTTCGATCTATTCCGGGCTAATTGGGAGTTGTTGCGTGCAACGTCTGTCAAGATTCCCAAGGTTACCTACTTCTCTACTCCTGTCCCACGGAAACGGAAACTCGCGTGTCTGTTCCTCAAACTAGGCTTGATCTTATCTGGGAGCCAGATGAAATAACTTCCAAGTGCCGACAACAGAATTCATTAGGTTCAGAGACGAAACAGTAAACGGCAAAAATACCTGATTTGACAGACTGCGGTTTGCCTTATCAACAAATATGGATCGTGACGTGAAAGGAAGTATCATTATTAAATACGGTATAGTTAGAACGTATGCAGTAGAACAATTCGTTTTCTGTTTCTCGGGAATACGTTTATTACAACCAAGTTTTCATACTCGGGAAAGGGACGAACGAGTAGTAGGGAACGCATTATTGATTGATTCTGTAATCGCACCAAGTTTTTAAGCACAATATACTTTGAAAGAGAAGGATGGATGTTGTTACGGCCTGGAAAAACTTTTAACCAATGAAGAGAACTTTGTCAGTCGGGGAAGGAATGAGGATGATAATGTAGAAACTGGTAAGAACTCTGGGGTCGCTTCACTCAAATGCAGACAGTGAGCGTTCATGATGGGTTGCCTCCTGCAAAGTCAAAACTTCTCCATTCATTAGTTGGTGAAGTCATGCTTGTCAGTTTGATCACGAATTCGGACTTTAATCTCCTCATTTCCTGTCATACCCTGAGTGCGTCTCCGAAGGTGCGCCGTGCACACATTAAGAGCATGTTTTTTGTCTGCCATGCCTCTGAAAAGGCAAGTAGCTCGCTGGGAAAGTGTGCCTTTTCTAGGGCAAAAAAATTGTTACCTGATTACAAAAGATAACGCTGGGTGAAGAATTGTCTTGCTTGTTAGATACTGGCCCATTTGCTTGGTAGCTCCCAAAAACTCTATAACAGCCGGTGTGATTAGATGTTCAGTGACGTACCTGTGAGTCAAGGCAACAAAGCAACATAGAATACACTTGTTGAAATTACGAAACAGTGGCGTGACGACAAATCACAGGAGCTGTATAAGGTTTGAAAATACATATCAGTGAAAAGAAGAAGGCCTTCGCTGCGGAGTTGTTTATTAAAGAAACACCAACTGAACAGTTACAGACTATTGGACAGGGGAACAAAACTCTCATATGCATCTTGTTTACAAAAACTGAATATCAATCTTCTCCTTGAACGTGTCTTCCTGGGCTTTCCTAAATACGCATTGACTGTTACTCAAGTGCAAGCAAATTCTACAAAGCGACTCCACAAATTCCTTAATAGATCTAACTTTTCAAGAGACGCGAAGCAGACTTACGAGAAAATACACTACTCGCATGCCCCATCAGTAATACCCACCATTACATCAGTGGAATGCGTGAGTATTTGATTCAACTGGGCACTTCTTCTTCACAGCCAAGTCAAAAAGAATTGGAACAATAAAGTACTTAAGACTGATGAGGTCGTCTTCTATGGTAGAGGCAACGTTAGGAAAGACATGGTCCAGGAATTCATCCCGAGCACTGGATGTAAATAAGCAAATATTTCATGGATGGGAACATATGAGTCCGAAAAATTACCGAACGGAATTAGGTTTTCGAGAAAGACACTCATTTAATACCACCGCGAACTTCTAGAAATAACCCTATACAGACGGTTTACCAGTCTGAGTAGACAAAACTGCGCAAGAATCTGACCTGTTTGCTGCTCAACACACGATCAGCTCATAAAGTGGCTTTCTAATCGCTGCTCAAACAGGATTCATCAGTAGTCATCAGTAACTTAGCTATCACCTGACTCTTTGAAAACTCCATTCTCTAGGATAGAACAAAAACGTCCAACCGTACACAAAACTGGAAAAATTTACCGAAAATACGATGGCTTCATTGAGACACCTCAGTTAAACTCTTCAGCGAAACCTGCTTGAGCGTAACAATAGCGGACGCTACATGTGAAAAAAAAACATTTACAAGGTCAAACTCGATACTCAAGTCTCAACTGACAAAATCTTTGAAAACGATGATCTTATTGATTTTCATTAAGTCAGTTGACCAATTTTCCTTCCGTATATGCATTTAGTCAGTCTCCTAGAAAAAGTCCTTTTACCTGACGATGTCTGTCCGATAGCGAAAACCTCTTGTGAGATAGGGCAACAAATCAACATGAAACGGAACCACAGCAGAAGCGAAAGCGTGATGTTTATCAAAGGCGATAGCATAGCATGGATATACCGAGTACGCGGGTGACCTAGCCCCAATACTGGCATCTGCACGTGCGGAGCTCTCTACATACCTTAGGTCCGGTAGCACGGGACTCGAGCTTCTGTAGTTGTAAGCATGAATGGGCCGATACGCTGGTAGTGCAGGCCTGTGGGTTTATGTTAGTTACTTGTCGGAGAAAGTAGCTAGCATTGCGCGGTGCTTTAATGGTTCTGTTGTAGCGAGATAACCAGAAAATGTCCAAGCAAATGTGGTCATTTCAGAGAAGAACAAAGCTGCGAGAACTGCAGAGATCCATAACCAAACTGCGTGACGGCTGCCAACATCAGATTTGGTGACAACTGCTCCCGTCTCATTGCGACCCCGAGTGAAATCCATCATGGTTCATAAATGGTCGAATTGAAGAGCAGGTACGTTAGAGAGAGTTTACAAACCACTATCATTTTCAGATTGTTAACTTGGCGTACATATTACGGCGCCTGAAGTATCATGCATGACTTGAATGACAGAAGCTGCAATACCTCGAATGATTATACCGAAACGAGAAAACTGTTGGTGCAACAATGGGTGCCAGCACCTTGATGCACCTCAATGCGAAATGGTCTTTTTACAATGAACTGGCAACAAGGTTTCAAGGTTGGCCAGTGATACGTTTTATTCATCTAACAGCAGAAAGCTTCTGTGAACGATCGTGGAATTTCGATAAGTTTGTCAGAGGTTGAGTGAATTTTAGTCACTCAACAACCATCCATTGGGAGCGACAATTTTAAGAAATTTCGTTAAAAAATCTCGCGTTTGTGTTACCCAAAATCAATACGTGAAAAGCAAACGAGCACAACTGTGCTCCTTGCACGCTGCCGCTTGCGCTTACGCTTACGTGGGGGGAAATGAACTCAACACTCCAAAGTGACCTACCACTCGTGAAGTTCCTAACAACCCTTTGAAAGCAACTATATGAGTAGGAAAGTACATTCAAACGATGTGCTGAGAGATTGGACTCATATAAAGGACAATATTGTAAACGAGAAATTCAACTGTATTCACCTGAGTCTGCCAATGAAACCAAATTAGTTTGCAAATGAGAGCATTTTACGATTTTTTTTCCTGCTTAAGAAGACCAAGGTATCTCTCTGCATAGACACTGAAAACAGGTTAACTGGAGTGACCTTCAATGACGAAACAAGCGTCATGTCCGCCACAAATACCTTTTTCAAGGAATAAAGTTAACTCTCGTTTTACTGTTTGCGAGTGAATGTCATTTAACGATTGAAAGACGCACATTCTCATTTGCTCCATTTCTTTTTCATTTAGAAAACGTTGGTCTCCCGTGAAAGAATTTCATGGGAACGGACTTATCGAAGTTCGAAAGCGGTAAGTAAAGGGCGTATTTAATCCTACGCTCGTTTCTCCCCTTGTTCATGTTCTAGTCACCAACTTCCGCATGCCTCAGCCCTGGAAGCATATTCGTTTGCTCATCAGAAATGGTGAGAAAACGGGAGCTCTTTGACAATTTTTTGGCTGTTTTCGACTATCTCGGAATTATGTTTTCAATATTCTATAGCTGGTATACACGGATTCTTTTGGAAATGGTGATTTTTGACCACATCCTTATCGCAACCAGCTCATCACCGAATATAGTTCGCCAATTGTCTAATTGGTCGCAATCGAAAGAGGCACGGGGCATTGACGAACATGTTTTGCGCAGTGAATGTAACGTCCGCTAGCTTAAACTTCGAAGGAATTTGATATCGTTACTAACCTCTGCTTACAATAAACACAGGATATGGATGCGAAGCAGTGTGACCATTGTCATTATGCTGTCAGTGATGAAGAGGACAATAAGAAGAGCCCATCCACAACTGCCCGGTTAATTTGATCATACAGATACCATCTATCTATGTTCACCACTCTCAAGTCTACACTACCCCTATTGCCCAAAGGTTCAACAGTATGCTGTGCAGTATTCTCCCACGAAGGCTCCTCGTGGGTGTGCAAAAAACGTTTAGCAAAACAAACCACCAGGACTGTTTGGAAAACAGCGAATATACACTCATTTGCAAACTGATTTGGGTTTTAGAGAGACCCACCTGGAACCCAGCTGAATCTCTCATTTATGAATATGTATATGATGTTCTCAGGCAACTGAATGTGCTGCACCAGGCCTCACGACATTTGAAATATCGCGACACATGTATATGTTTGCAACTTTTACGATCAAAATCCATCGACAGCCCACGACCGATTTCGCCCTTCTTGGGGCTCATCAGGTAGGCGCAGTCCCCGGATTTCCCTCAACTTTATGTTTTACTTGAATACAAATTGCACGAAATTATCGAATATACACTCATTTGCAAACTAATTTGGTTTCTCGAGAGACTTGTCTGGAACCCAGCTGAATCTCTCGGTTTCACTGTGTCCATGCAACTGAATGGAAAGCATACTGACAATTTGATAAAATATAGGTAGCTCTGTCCACCTGCCTGGTCGTTGCTTTGTTTGCCAGGCTTACTATGGCTTAGGATGCGTGCAATAACGATGTCTCCTGGATTGGCGTCTGGGCATTTGCAATCCAGTTAGCAAGCTTGACGGACAAAGCAACAACCGGAAATGTTTGACCGAATACTCTCCGCCATTTTTTCCGCTGACTAGTACATTAGGTCGCAACATTGACTGGCCCATCTAATGAACCCTGCCACGTCAAGGCGCTCCGGAATTTTCAAAATGTTTTGGGGAAATTCATTAACTAACTGGACAAGAGGGAAATCCGGGGTCGCTAGTTTAAGACGTTCAAAGGGTATGTGAAGCTTGCTTCCCATGCACAAAACTAACCAGCTTCCAAGACACCTTCGTCAAGACACCTTGGAATTTCTGTCGGGATAATTTGAGATTCCTATAGGACCACGAACCGAAGAACTTTAGAGAAAACACCAGAACGTCTTGTCACGAAGAAGTTACAAAAATTCTTCCAGCTATACGTACGGATCGTTTGCTGGAACAGAACGAACGGTCCCTATTGGCTTGAATGCAAACGGGCTAGATAATAAGACGAAGCGACGCGCGATAATTCCACATTTATCTGTTTCCCGGAATGAAATAACTAGTTCCTTCTAGCAAGCCAGTCATGACTACATCGGGGACTGTGTTGAGCAGTGGCAATTAGATTCACCAACCTAACTAGTGAAACAGTCCACAAGCGTAGCTTAGTGACCAGTCACTATCTCTCTCTTACCTTACTTCTTGTTTCAGAGTTAGAAAATTCGAACCCTGGTCACGTGTGAAGCGAACCCACTACAACTCACCAGTTGATGAGTGAAAAAAGGTGAGTGAGTAGCCAACATTTGCGAAATCTGCATCACACAAGTAAATGTGAGACATTATGATACGTAGTTGTTCTGCGGCATCCAGACGGACTATATTAGCCAAGAAGAACCTGTGGAGGTTCGGTGTGTGACTGACTGAACGATAGTCCAAACTGGCTGAAGGATCGTGTCATAGATTCGACTCAGATGCAACGTAGTGAAAGTCCCATGAAGCAGATGCTTCTCCAAAAGGGTCTATATGTCATCCCTCATCTTCAGACGGAGTGCAGTATTTCTTGTCCACTCACCTGAATTCACCACCACGAAAGATCATCTGTTTGCCTCCCCATTTTCTGTTTCTTGTCATTCAGCCACAAGTTAAAGGTAGAACTAACGGAAATTCTGGACTGCGCCTACTTGAGTAGCCTTGAAGAAGAGCTGTGGGACAGTTAGTTTTTGAGACACGGCCGTAACTTTTCAGGTCTATCCTCGGCCAAGTCAACAAACTCGGATATGAATAACTCCATTTCTAAACCAATTCGCCGCAGTTAAGGTGATGTTGTACTTATCAGACACTGCCCTCTTAGACGATAATGAATTAAAACGCCACATCGTTCCAGACGATTACATACTAATACTGAGATTCCTATAGGACCACGAACCGAAGAACTTTAGAGAAAACACCAGAACGTCTTGTCACGAAGAAGTTACAAAAATTCTTCCAGCTATACGTACGGATCGTTTGCTGGAACAGAACGAACGGTCCCTATTGGCTTGAATGCAAACGGGCTAGATAATAAGACGAAGCGACGCGCGATAATTCCACATTTATCTGTTTCCCGGAATGAAATAACTAGTTCCTTCTAGCAAGCCAGTCATGACTACATCGGGGACTGTGTTGAGCAGTGGCAATTAGATTCACCAACCTAACTAGTGAAACAGTCCACAAGCGTAGCTTAGTGACCAGTCACTATCTCTCTCTTACCTTACTTCTTGTTTCAGAGTTAGAAAATTCGAACCCTGGTCACGTATGAAGCGAACCCACTACAACTCACCAGTTGATGAGTGAAAAAAGGTGAGTGAGTAGCCAACATTTGCGAAATCTGCATCACACAAGTAAATGTGAGACATTATGATACGTAGTTGTTCTGCGGCATCCAGACGGACTATATTAGCCAAGAAGAACCTGTGGAGGTTCGGTGTGTGACTGACTGAACGATAGTCCAAACTGGCTGAAGGATCGTGTCATAGATTCGACTCAGATGCAACGTAGTGAAAGTCCCATGAAGCAGATGCTTCTCCAAAAGGGTCTATATGTCATCCCTCATCTTCAGACGGAGTGCAGTATTTCTTGTCCACTCACCTGAATTCACCACCACGAAAGATCATCTGTTTGCCTCCCCATTTTCTGTTTCTTGTCATTCAGCCACAAGTTAAAGGTAGAACTAACGGAAATTCTGGACTGCGCCTACTTGAGTAGCCTTGAAGAAGAGCTGTGGGACAGTTAGTTTTTGAGACACGGCCGTAACTTTTCAGGTCTATCCTCGGCCAAGTCAACAAACTCGGATATGAATAACTCCATTTCTAAACCAATTCGCCGCAGTTAAGGTGATGTTGTACTTATCAGACACTGCCCTCTTAGACGATAATGAATTAAAACGCCACATCGTTCCAGACGATTACATACTAATACAAGGAAGAAGGCCTTTGCTGCTGAGTTATTTATTGGAAAATGCCAACTGTACAGTTACACAATATTGGACAGCCAAGCAAAACTCTCATATGCATCTTGTTCACAAAAACTGAACATCCATCTTCTCCTGAACGCGTCTTCCTCAACTTTCCTGGATATTCACTGACTGTTGCTCAAATCCAACAAATGCTACAAATCGACTCCACAAATTCCGCAACAGATCTCCCTTTTCAAGAGACACAAAGCGAATTTACAAGAAAAAACATGCTACTCGCTTGCCTTCCTCATCAGTAGTACCACCGTTACACTGACAGTTCAGTCGTTAAATGATTCCAAATTGAAATAAATCTTTCTGGAACGAGGCTACAACTCTCCAAGAAGCTGAAATAGTTGAAGATGGAAAATCACTCACTTTATCATCGGGATTTAATCGACCTAAGAACTACGGAACTGTTTGTTCACTGTTCACAACGCAGTGAACAACAATCTGCGGTGACTGAACGATTCAAACGACTTTTTGTTGATCTGTCTTCAAGGGAAAAGTGCCTCATCTGAATGAATCACTCTGTATGTGAGTCAGTTTTTCCCATCAACCTTCTGAAATTTCCCTACCTGAACAAGTTGTTCCCCGACAAGCGAGTAACAACATGCACACAAATACCCACCACAAACTAACCCGGTTGCACCATTTCTGTGTGGGTTGTTTTAACCACCAAGATCAACCCTTGGCCTTGGCAGCACAATTTGTATCAGCGACCGTATGGATACGGGAATGGATATAGTGCAACATAACGTTACGGATGTTGTTAGACTCCTCGAAAATCTCAACATTACAGACGTTTTTCCATAATTATTGGCTCAGTGAGATCATACCTAACAAACAGTGAAGCAACATAGTATTCATCCCCTCAAAATGCGGAAACATGGTCTTCTAGACACCTTTCCACTCGCCTTTAGGTTTTCTGCTAGAGCGCATAAAACTGATAGCTTTGTGCACCGCATTAGGCGTTTTAAAGAAATGAAGGGTTTTGAAATTTCAGGGTCACAGAGTTGTTTGCTTGTCGCTGAGTCGAAGCGAACACAGATCCACTGGGATATTCAGGTCGTCTTCGCCTCCACAATGAACAAACTCTACGCGTTTGTTGGTTGGTCAAACAGGAGATTGTGAGCGTAAACTCCTTGTAGATAATCCGCTTGCTGACTGCACCGTAGAGAGATTTTGCAAGTACTAGCTAAGATTTCACCCTGTCAGTAAGGCTAATCTACGCTGAAATGCTGAAAAGCACTACATCTGTTTCATCCATATTAGATCTCTCATTCGTCATACTAACTGGGAATCATCAGCTGATTTTGATCCTCTGTAAGAAAGAAACAGCTGTACAGTGGCTTCAGGCTTCCTAGCACAGATTCGCCTCACTGACAGGACGAAATCTCACACTACTACCAATTTATAAGTGACTCAGAAAAAGAATAATTTCAATAAATGAGAAATCGTCACACTCGAGGAATAAGTCGGTGAGTGACCACATGACGCGGTCCCTAGGAGTGAGAGATGAGCAGCGCTACATCATGCCTAACTGAGAGCTAATTATACTGCTAATCACCCGCTCGAGGCCGAACGGTCCAATGTTCAAACACTGGCCGGAAGATCGCTGTTTCGTATCTCTGAGTTACATGGAAAGCCAACTTTTGATGATTCCCAATAAGGATAAGACAGCTGTACAGGACTTCTTCGCTTTTCAGCCATACTGACACAACCGAACTTGAACCGAAGATCCTTGATTTGTTTGTCTCAGGAACAAGAGTTCAAGGTATCCCCCCAAGTGTTTACGTTTGTTCGTATCCTAACAGCACACAACATTCAGACTGCCCATCCGACATCCTGAGGCTGTGCGCAAGCTATTTGCGCTTTCGGTACAAACATTTCACTCGCCACGTCTTGAATTTTAACGCCCAATGACTCCAGTACGGAGAGAGTGAACAAGAAAGCGAGCAAAATTCTACGTTGAGTTGAAGTGCCAACTCACCTAATTGGATGCTACTATTCGAATTTATTCCTAAAACATGATAATAGTGTCCTGGACTCGAATTTATCCGCACTAACCCCCTAATATGATGCAAGCGTGAAATCCCAAGCTACCTGATATCCGTGAAATTTTCATTAAGCTCCAGCAAAGCCAACGAATTTCGTGAATGGAAAATAAATCGAATGAGGGAGATGAGAGTAACGAGAATTTGGCAAGAGCGTCACAGCAAACTTTGGCAAACAACGCCAAACATATTGTCGGGAAACGCGCTCAGTTTGTTCCTACCATCGCCGCGACAATTATGAGAACAAATTAGATCCTACGTTGTACGCGGACCACCGGAATCATCGAAATTGGTGAACCACTGTAAGAAAAGATTGCCAGTATCGAATCGCGTGATTCTGATTGACCATATTCATCTGTCTGCAAATAGACATGTCCGAAAGGGATCCCTTCAGAAAGCAAGTTGAGGGTGTGGTAGTAAGAGGTATACTCGGCCCAGCCGTTTCTGGTATTTTAATAGGGCAACCAGGAAATGTGGCACATAAGCGCACACCTATTAGAATCTAACTTAGATGTGCCTCTCATTCATAGTACCTCTTTCCCCTGTGTACATTTTTAACTGTATAGTTTCAATACCAAGTGTACAAACGATCAAATGCTGCCTACCGAATTTTCGGGACGTGTTTTCCAGAACTCTACATTCCGTAGAACTGATATGTCAACAAATTCAACTGCAGGTCAATTAGCTTATTTTGGCCGGTGTACGGAACCCAAAAAGTCCTTCCGTAATACCATTCGACAACATAATCATCAGGCATTGCAGTTTTCAGAATCCTTAGTCATTCGATAGGTCCAGTCGACTTTGTGTAGACAATAGGACTTTGAGGTAAGATATTATCCACGTAAACTAACACATCTTTGAGTTCCCTCCAAACAATGGTTATTGAATTGTATCTGCAGCTTTGCAAAGACCGGAAGACATTCGATAAACTCATACTGCTTTCCTTTGAGTGTTTTCTCTGTTCCTCACGTTTGACCACCGGCAAGTGCCAACATCCAGAACACATGTCTGTGAGATGCCTTAGACATCACGTAGATGGACAAATTTATCATCAGTCACTGGTACTGGGAAAGTGTCTTTGGTGGACCGATGTACTGTGAGGGGAACTAGGATAGACGTGTATCCGCCTACCTTCAGTTTCTGCAGCTCAGTCGTTCGTTTCCCTTAGTTAATCGGGAGCCCTCACTTTCAGTCAGTCGTAGTGCCTTCTTAGGCGACTGTGAGCTATTGCGTGATTTGTTGTAATCATACGTTTCTGAAACAGGTCTCTCTTTGCCCCATTGTTGCCCTATGATCTGTTTGACCTAGAACACCGGTTCATCAAGGAAACACAGTGAACGGGTGATCATGGTCATAGTCTCATTCTGAGGTTTCTCAGTGCGCCTTCATTCCGCACAATGTATTCTACTTGCCCAAACTTGAGGCAGCTGACTGAGGATACAAAGTGAAATAGGCGTCATTTAGCCGGGATGTGTATTCTTCTTGCGTCGTTGAAAATGGCCAAAGGAAGTGGGTATATGGATGTGAATTTTGTCCCACCATCCCTAAATCTGCGCCATCACCTTCAAGTCGTGTTTCTGATAGTTCTATAGAATAACTAATTTGATCTTAATGAATGTGGTTTAACAGGTAGTTTGCTGATGAGCACCTAGCCAGCTACTTCTAGTGCTAAGGGAGAATTTAAGTTTAGTGAATCTATGGTTGATGTTTGGCCAGCAACCGACTATCTGAAGGAAATGGCTTGCTTTTCTCACCTGTCCATGTTTTTTATCTTCTACATTTCAGGCGATAAACGAAGTACACCTAGCTCAGTCAGTTATTTTCCGTTGAAAATAAATCGATTAGCAGCCGAAGTGTTTTTTTTATTTTTCATGGGTAGATGTTATATTTGATTACTTCGCTCTACGTTACGACAACTGCAGAAGAATGAATATCCCGAATCAGGTTTGCCCCTGGATCACGTCTAGCAACAAGATCGCCACAAGATCGGGCGGGCACTTTCCTTCCCAGTGTATGATGCCAAGTAAACGAATGACCTGCTAGTTCGCTTTTTCATAGTACTCACCCTTTGAATATTTTGACGTTGAGCAGGATTGTCGTTACACTATTTGGCCGATCAAACCACACCGTCTAATTTTTCGTGGCAATAGCCAGGACAGATGACATAATACACGATTCTCATCAACTGATATTTCTCCGAGAAGAAGCCACTCTTCTAAATAACTCCCGGTGGCGTTACCCATCGGACATCATTGTCTGACACCACTTTTTGTAGGGAAGCTTTTAGAGAGCTCACCATGCACTCTCACCCGCCCAGAAGTATGAGAACATAGGGATCGGATTGTTTACAAACTTCTGGGGCGTACCCTGTTGATCGATCAACAGAATCGAACGCACCCTTGAAGTCAAGGAATATCAGGATTGTGGGTCGTCTGTGCATGTGGCGTTGCTCTAACACCTGACGGAGTCTGAAGATGTGGTCAACGCAGCCTCTACTCGGTCGAAATCCCGCTTGATTCTCACGAGTCAGGGTTTCGCTTGCCATTGTAAGACGACGAAGAATCAGTGACGCCAGAAGCTTTGTCACAACAGGCGTCAAACTATTACCTCTGTGGTTACTACATTCACTGCGAGTACCCCTTTTGAAAATGGGCACCAGTATCGATCCATCCCCGTTGTCTGGGACGGCCTCCTCCTCCCAGATAGACCCAAATAGGCTAGACAGGCGCTGGCTGAGGAATCCACCGCCATAATTGAAAAGGGCAGGTGGAAGGTCGTTAGGACCAGCAACATGATGACGCTTGAGTGGACAGATACATTCGGACACTTCTGAGACTAAAGGCGGCCCCATATTTATGGTCCATCTTTCTGTTAAGGCCAGGTTTCTGGATTGGAGGTGGCAGATGACCAGCTGAAATGCTGCTCAAAGTACTATGCCCAGCGGTCCAAACGTTCAGCTTTAGTGCATATCAGGGAGCCATTTTGGTCCCTGATTACTTCGCTGAAAAGAAGTTTCCGAGGACCAGTCGAACGGATCAAGTGGAAAAGCTTGCGCGTTTCCAGCATTCTTTACACCTTCCATTTCTTCGGCCTTTCGGGTCCATCAAGCTTCTCGGTCTGCGCGGACACTCAGTTTCACCTGGCGTCGGATGGTGCGCCGAGTGGAGTTGTGGTGGCGGCCAGCTGGAATCTGTCGCCGGGTCTCCAGCAAAGACACGGTCCTATCAGAGATCCAATGCTTGGATGGAGTTGGCTGCGTTGTACCGCAAACAGACATTCCGGCTTTGAGTAGCGCTTTTGACACGGTTTGGCGTTAAATCACCTTTCCATGAGAGTCCAAAAGGATCATTTTGCTTGGAAGTTCCGTAGCGTCAGCTGTTGTCAAGAGATGACCAGCTGTCATGGTGGGCATATGCCTCAGTCTGAAAGCTTTTTTCTTAAAACTTACAACCCACACGAAGGTGACGCACACTTGAACACCACCGTTAGGCTAGTTATTTCAGTTTAGCTTCAAACTTATCGGAGCCGCGGTTTGCGTTGATTAGACGTACTTCGTCGAATCGAGCGATTCGGATGGTCTTCGTTGTTTGGTCAAGCCTAGTTGGTACCTACGTGGTTTTCTGGTCAGTGATATGTGACACTCAATAGCCCTTCGTCGGCACAATCATCGACATCGTCAGCTGTTATAACCGCGTACTTGTCGTACAGTGGTTGTAGCTGCCACAGTTTCGTTCACCGATGATTTAGGGAGGTGGGAATGGGTTACAAATCAAGGCTAACGGCTTCCAGTAAGTTAGACTGTTAAGAGCCGGTTACCATGGTCCTAAATTTCTATTGTCCTAATTCTGGCCTCAGTATCATGACACAACCGTCACTCTCCATAGTTCATCGGGCAGTGCATTTCGACTTCACTCTGCCGTTGTTTTCGTGTGGTACCGTCACTATGATGTAGAACAGTATCAGCAGGTAGTAAAGAACACCCCAGAAACACCCGATCACGATGTGTGCGAACCCAAGCATTCTACGGCGTCGACAATCGGGCCTACTGTGAAGCTTGGGCAGATGTAGACCGGTTTCGTACGGATTGAACAGGCTAACGGTTTGGATGAAGAAACACTGCTCCTATGACCATCCGTTTCAGTCCGAGTTACAGAAGCAACATTTGACAGTAAGCAAACGGCAGATAACTTGCACCGGGTACGAAGAACTTCCCCACTGCTGAGCAACATGTTTCGCAAATCAGGTTAGATGACGTGCAACGTTAGAAGTAAAACAACTGCCGTGTTGTCGTCCACATGTGACAAACCTCTTTCCGATACTTAACTAAGTCGTCGCGTGCAGTCATCTCACTGTGGGTAGTGAAACCTCAATAACACCCATTCTCACGAATGCATTCGTGACCGAAGTTGAGTACCTCTTCTATTGAAACTGCTAGCCGACCAGTGTGTGTGTGTGTGTGTGTAGAGCGTGATCATGAAGGAGAAACAAACAGGAGCATTGACGAACATCTTGTTTTTTTTCTAATCATTTTAGTGTTCTAACATGTGGGGAATGACATCATGCTTGCACTGGATTAACACTCGGCTGCGAGCGTTCTTTTGGGCGCGCAAGGCAGACTACTCATTGACCAATAGCTGACTAAGGAGAAACGCATAAAGACTGAAAGCAGTTCGACAGTAAACTTTTAGCCCAGCCGGTGCGTGTCTAGTCTGTGTTCAGTAGAATAGCGACACCTTGGAGAATCCAATGTGACGGATGTTCGTGTGTTGGCATGTCTAATGCGGTCACAAATCCTTCGCCCATGGCATTTCGGCGTTGACTGGTCACGTAGACTGGCACAGGCACGGTACTGGTTAGCTTCAGACGATGCTTCTCAATTGGGGTCAGTTTGACGATGGGCAATTCTTGGAGTAGTTCACGAGGTGTCTGACGTACCAAGCAGCCCTCCTTAGCAGAAAAAGAGAAGAGAAAAACAGCACGTTAGATAAATAGAATTCATAAGTAACAAGTTGCAAACATTGGAAAAAGCATCAGGTAGTTATCCGTCATACCTCGTAACACCGTCACCATGGATGGGGTTAAATTAGACTTACAAATTCTAGTCATGGTAAATGATGCTGCTAACCGAAAAGAAAGACGAACCGCAACAGAGACTGGGTTTTACATCAGCTGAAGAAAGCATAAATAGCCTAATTTTTACCGGTACAGTGAAAGCGAGGTGGACTTGATGTGAAACAACAACCCACGTACGCGTTTACGCATGTGCATGTGCATATGGCATGTGCCACTTGACGAGTCGTAACTCAAATGGCCACCATTAACGGAGCACTTACTTCGACGCTCCAAGCACACCCCTCAATATAGAGTCCGTTCACGTGGCAGCCCAATTCCGGAGCCATCAAGACGGTATGAACGTCCTCTGGCACAATGTCCGTGACCGTAGTCTGGAGAGCACACTTGTCCAAAGCCCAGCCGTGCTTTCGGCATGCCTTCTGAATTAGTGCGGTCAAGTAGGATTGAGGAAGATGCAAACCACTCAGCCACATCACAGCGGGTTCACTTTTTCCAGTGGTCATCTGGCGGTAGCGTTGAATTTGAAGATGGGAGGGGGGAGAAAACGGAATTTTTATTTGTGGTGGATTACCACTACACCAGCTTAGTAAAGCACCTCGAAACTACAGCCCAACCGCGCCTGATAATCACCTTTGACAGTTCTGACGTATAACTTTCATGGAGTGTAACATCACTCGTGGTCTAGTAAAGCGTTGAGTAGCTATCGACGTAGGAATTTATTGTCGACACTTGCTTGAGGTTGATCGTGCTTTGTGAGCAATTTCCGGAAGCTGAACAGAAAGCGTGTGATCCCACAATTTTGTTTGTGCCATAGACTGCTACCGTTTCGGTCACCAGAAAACGGGAAAGTGGAGTATGCAACCAAGTCTTGGAGGTGAAGCCATGTTCAGTTTGTTCAGAAATCGGGCAGCTACGCATTGAAGGCGGTAGCTCTGATTCTCCAGCGTCACTGACTGCTCGATTGGGTTATTTTCGCCAATGTCACTGGTGATCTGATTCCCGGGGTCCACATCCAGGGAGGCGGCAGTTGACCACCCGACTAAGTTTACTGGTTAGTGTAGGTGACAACCGTGATCGATCTATTCGTTTCCCTGGCCAATATGGCATCTTCGGCTGGAAAATTATTGGAAACGCATTCTAGACGTTCTCTGTAGACTACTAATTGTGTTACTTTGAGTACAGTCAGATTGGCGGGTTGTAGCTACCCTCGGCACATGCATAAACAGCAGCAGCAACACCCTTTCGGTACGTAGCTGTCAAGCCACCTGAAGGAGGCTCGTGCGCTGAAACACTGCCAAGTAACCAGGCCAAGACAGGAGCAGTCTAGGTGCTGAGGTTGGCTTCGAACCACTAACCATACGACCATTAAGTTCACGCCTTAATCACTGAGCAGTCTCGAACTCCGTATGCAAACTATGGCTGCAGTATTGCCCTGACATGGAAGCAGAACATTTTCAACATGTTTTATTAGAGTTTTTACACAAGACTATGTGAAATTCGTGGGTCCATGAGTGTGTTCAAATTCTCCACGAGTTTTCCGAATCTGGTTGGAGAAAAGAAACAGACGAGGACACCAATGGTGTTTCGCTAAAGTGAATAGTTGTCAGGCCAATTCTAGTCACACCACAAGTGTACCAAACATAAAGTGAAGATCACCTACCCATTTTTTATACTGATCTGCACGTCGCAATAGGTGTTGAATCCAATCTGGCAGAGATTTCTCGGTTTGGGGAACTAGTCGGCGCCAACTGGCTGGAATGAGTCCGTTGGCCAGATGACGAGCGATGTCATCAAGCTCTTCTGACATCCCAATCTTTCCATCGAATGCTTGCTTCAACTCATTCAGTGAACTTAGAATTTTGGCCAGAATTAAATTGAATCTGTGAAGGGAAATCGGTGAGAAGATGTGAAGCTGACTGATTACTTGATAATGCGGATAACACAAATAAACCAAATGAACAGTGAATTGAACGAAACGCAAGCAACCTATCCAGTTCCTGTATTAGGACAATGATTGTCGGAGAAATTTCCGTTCCCATGTGTTTTCTTTTCAATCCCTCTGCATCGAACAGTGGAGGAAGACGTGAAAGTATGCTATCAGACAAGCGACGAATCGTCGCCTCTCTACTGGAAGCAGGCGGTGCCGCAACCTGAACCGCCGTAAAATCATTGAATGAGACAGCTGACGAACGCGATTTCGTTGATACAGAGACCGAGGCGGCTCGACGACGTTGCTGTAAGCCTTCTGGGTCTTCCGGCGCTGGTAGATTGTTATCCTCCTCGCCATCTAACTCTTTCTGTTCAGCTTGTCCCGCATCCCGATCCGAATCGCTTGAAAGAGTGCCTGATTCTTGACTATTCCCCTCCTGATCCGCACTATCCATGGCCTCAAGTTCCACCCGTATACTAGTACGATGGCCAGGCAATGGTGCAATAAATGACAAGCGCTTTTCGTTGCCAAATTCACTGCCGTTTGGAAAAGCTGACGCGGCAACTTGACTCAGACGTTGGGCACTGGGGACTCCACCAACAACTTCGGTTTCTGAGTGTAGCATTAACAGGTTTGTCCACATATTACGAGCAAATCTGACCGAATAGCCAATGGCAGCATTTGGATGTAGACCCAGAACTTCCGGCTTGTGTGCACTCGGGAGGTGGGCTACGTATTCTGGTGTGGGAAGTAATGCCAATTGAAAGAACGGGGGATAGGTGGCGCAAGATTCTATTCATTACTCACGAGTACCTGAGGATATAGTACACTCGAACATGTAACCTTTGCCTGCAAATTAGACAATCTGATATAAACTAGTCATTCAAAAAGACAGCCAACATCAAAGCCTGCTGCTTAATCAATCGTTTCACAGCGCTAAAGCACTTAATCTCCTTACATTAGGGGCAGATTCAGGGCACACTGGATATTCGTGCGATTTTCAGCGTATCCGGAGTGTAATGCATGTGTCTCAAGACTTTCCATTCATATTTCCAATAAGTGGTAAGGTGAATTATTGACTAGCAGGCCTATCAATACTTAGTCTTCTTCAGACTGGAAAAATCGACAGAAATAAACACCGACCAATCTTTAGAGCCAGGACACTTCAATCTAGTACGCAAAAATATGCTATATTCTCAGAAAATCGAAAAGTGTGTTCAAAGACTTGATGTGCGAACCACAAGCTCTACCGTATCGGAAAAACTCCCGATAGCGCGTTTTCGCCTCGAAAGTCGCCCAATCTTCCAGATTTTAGCTACAACTGACTTTCCGGCTTTCCGCCCACGTGCATTTTATATACACAATTTGAAAGTTCCAAAGACAGTATCGAATTTCACCATCATCGTAGACTTGATTGAGGACAACATTTCTCGAGAACGTTTAGTCACAGGTTTATCCATTACACTCACGAACGTTCCAGTTGTAATGCTTCATGAAATCCGAGGACATCCTAGAATGGGCAACCAGGATAACCTAGGAGATGATATTGCCGACTCGCCTTTGGCCGGCCCGCATTCTATCGCATACGGGTGCCTTGTTAATGACATGTAGTAGCTTAACGTGTAGTCTCATTAATAAAGAGTTGAAAGACGACAAATAGGCTCATTTGCGTATCAATCTGGTTTTCACGAAAGACTCAACCAAATCTCTCGTTTATGATATGCTCCGACTGAATGGGCTGCACAAAGACTGCCCCTTGTTTCAGTTGGTACGGTATTCGAGATATCGCAATATATTTTTCACAAAAGAAACTACTCATTAGGTTGCTGAAAACTCTTCGACAGCCCACGAGCGTCTTTGCCCTGTTTGAGGCTCATCAGGCAGAAGAAACTACTCATTAGGTTTCAACCTTATGTTCTACTTGAACCCGAATTGCACTGTTTTCGAGAAATACACTCATTTGCAAACCAATTTGGTTTTCACGGGAGACTCAATTGAATCTCTCGTTTATGATATGCTCCGACTGAATGGGCTGCACAAAGACTGCCCCTTGTTTCAGTTGGTACGGTATTCGAGATATCGCAATATATTTTTCACAAAAGAAACTACTCATTAGATTGCTGAAAACTCTTCGATAGCTCACACCGGTTTCGCCCTTCTTGGGGCTCATCCTTACGTTCCACATGGGCCCAAATTGTAGAATATTGTGGAATATCATAGACCATATATTCTGTCGAGTCTCCCGTGAAAACCCAGTCGAAATCTATCTAATTTGGGTTCAAGTAGAACACAAAGTTGACGAAAACTCGAATACTGCGCCTAACTGATGAGCTTTAAGAAGGGCGAAACCGGCAATAGGCTGTCCGATAGCTGTTAGAAAACCGGTTCGATAATTCACGCACGTATGAACTGAGCAGTGTGGGGAACGCTCTCCGTACACAATAGAGTCACTCACCGTTTGCCAAATCCCTAAAATTCCCTCATACTCACTACCATTGTAAGTTGCCTGGTCAACACAGAACACCACCAACCTGCGTAAAGATCCTTGTAGTTGCCGAAACCAGGTGGTTCCTCCGGAATGAAGTACTCCACACGGTCATCTTGATAGAATCGGAACGGTTGAAAAGTGTCAAACAAGAAATCCCCAAAGTACTCATCCATGTAGGTGGTGAGGATGCGTCGGTCATAGCTGTCAATTGTACGCCCGCCATACATGACCTTTGGTGGACGGGGATATAGAATTAAATCGATGCATAGCCAAAATAAGCAATGTAATGACAAAAATTGGCGAATCGTGAGATTTTTTAAAAACGTTCATGAAAACCGCACCCAGTACCTAGAATCCCTGTAAGTAGGTACTCCTGTCACGGATACGTTGTCCGAGAAGACGTGAACTTACCAAACACGGATTATAAAACGGTACGACTAAATGCAAAAAATTGGAGAATCATGACAAACTTCTATTTTGAGTAACTTGAAGGCCTGTGTCGAATGAACAACCACAACTTGAAACTCGTCCAGTTTTGGTGAATGATGCTCACCGACACAACCCGCGTTGGTCAAATGATTGGCGTTAACACCAATCAGCAGAAAATATGGAACAACGAAAATGGGTACAACGTAACGATACAATAAGCTGGGAGATCTCGTGTTGGACCCTTAAGAATCCAGTTTTCGGGTGCTTGCGGGTCTCAAGAATTCAACAATAAACATCAACTGAACTGCCTCCATAAAACATTTCACACCACAGAAGTAATCAGTACCATTCAATTCAATAGGCTGGCTTGTAAGCCAACTGTCAGGCCTGGTCAAGCGAGAAACAACCAAGGGGTACATCTGTGCTATTGATATTCCGACACAACAAATTAATGGATTCGTTTTCCCAAATGAAGCTGTATTGAACAGATGCAACGTGGTCAACAATGTTCAAAATTCGCTTGTACAATGAACTGCACCGCCTCGAATATATTGGTGAATGTTTTAAACTAATTCACAGTCAACAAAACCTTCAAAAAGAATTAGCTGCAAGACAAAACTTATTCCATTTGTTCCATCTGCATTCTGTACAAACGGGGATCTTTTCCAGACAAGCCTGTTACGAACGCAAAAGGTGCATGTGCGAAAAGTTAAGCCGTGCCACTTCGCGCCAGCTCCACTTTAATGCACGCACACAACCTTGACCTATTTTTGATGAAAACAATTCTCTATCTGCATCTAGGTTCATTTTGTGTAAAGCTTCTCTCCGTTCGTACGTAAAACCTTAAATGAACTTTCTGGCGCTTTCAACTCTCGTTCATGACAAGGAGACAGCAATACGTTTTTTGCAAAGCCACGGAGTGATCCATCAGCAACAATGGCCACCAAATGACACTTTTAACTGTTTCTGACAGGTAGAGATGTAATGCCCGACAGGGCCGGCACGATATCGGCCTTCGAAAGAGAACTTGGCTGGAGCGGTCCAGGATGGAGTTTAGCACAGTCATTCTATCCATTTATTGCTGGTTCAAGAATTTGGCAAAAATCAAATTCTGTTCAGAGGAGTTATCTATTAGTCACACGACCGCTGTTGAATGGAAGAACTTTCTCCGTGAAGTTTGCGCCTGGCTGCTTTTACAGACTCCAACAGTTGTCGGCGGCCTAGTCTACACGTCGAGACCGATGAGACGCTAATATCCCACCGTAAAAAGCGCGCAGGGCGAGTCCTTCCCCAGCAATGGATTGTGGGAGGGATCTGCCGGGAAACTAAAGAGGTGTTCATGTATGCACTTGCAGATCGAACTTCGGTCATTCTGCTGAACACAATCCAAGTCTGCATCGCTCCCGGCTCAATCATCATCTCCGATATGTGGGCATCATATCAAGGAATTGAAATGATGGTTGACATAAATTATATTCATGAAACGGTTAATTATGCCGAAAACTTTGTGGATCCAACGACTGGAGCTCACACACAAACCATCGAATCTCTCTGACACGTTTACCAGATGCAGAATAAACGCCACTATGGCACACACCGATCCTTAGTGGACAGCTACTTGCGTTTGTTCGTTTGGAGGCAAAGGTACCAAAAAACGGACCTTTTCATGCAGATTTCTAGTGACATATCCCAATTTCACTCTCTTCAATAAAAACTAGAAGTAGAAATTCCATATCCTCTTTTTTCTAATCTTTTTTTTGGGTGGTGGGGGTCAATTTTTCGGCGGGGCTTATCTGGAAAAGATCCCAAACGGTGGTGCTATACTGCCAAGCTCCTTTGTTATCTTAAGTTTCGCTGTGAAGCAACTTTACTCCCACTCTCTGAGGTCACCATCCTAAGGTGGAATGTCAACTTATCTTGGTGAACCACAAATTCACATGTTAAACGTACTTCACCAATCAAATATTTGATGGTGTCCCATGAAATTTCTGTCTTCGTCTCTTCTGATTTGGCCAGCGAGATTTGCAAAATACGTAGCGATACTTGGAAATCAGAATCAGCAAAGTCGTAGCTAACATTCCAACCCAACTTTCCGTAACGACGTCGTTCTTGCAACACTGCGTGTAAAAAAATCAACGTGAACAAACATGGTCTGTAGTTTGGATGGGCGCAGCTGACAAACTGCTCGTGGGATAGTTTGCTTACACCAGCGGCCAGGTTTTGTTTTAATCCACTGGGTGGTTCCATGACAACCTGAAAATGAACAACGGATGCGTTTGTGTTTAATTCCGAATTCCGATTGTCCAGGATGGTTTCTGACAAAACAGTGTAAGGAAAAACTCACGCAGGTCGGCTAGGCCACATAGTCACAAGAAGGGAGTATTCCATACAAAGGCAATATGGTGAAAAAGTAGATGGACCTTGTCCAAATAATACAAAGTTCGGAAAGTATATTGTCCTTAAGGCGCAAGTTAAAGAAAAAGTCCGGGTAGAAATAGAAAATCTCATCGTATCGTGGAAAAGGCTGTTATGACTAACACAGAATATTGAAATTTCGTCGGCATTTTGTGTTGGCCGATTCCTTCAAGAGAAGTAGTCTCCCTTGAAGAAATATTTTAGTACCCTCTGGAGTTGCTTTCTCGTGAGTACTTTGAGTTGTCACCAAGCTAAGGATGCAGCGCTTGTCTCAGATTAATGTAAATTGTTTGTATCTAACAGCATATAATCAGTACATACTGACAGCTCTGCCGACCGCTGGCTGCTGATGACAACTACCATCATCTGCTATTAATCACAAATCATTTTTAATTACATACTACTCATGCGTAGTCAACAACTCCAATACTTAGAGGGATCACATCCGACTTCTCATCGATTTATTCCATCATGTCTAGAAGCAATCCACTATGATACGTTCTGACACCTGCACTTCTGGTTTGAGCATACACTCATAATGTTGTCCCCCCCAAAAGAGGTGTCCTCGAGAGAAGGACATTGCCTGCTCTAGGGATTTTTTCAATACAAGATCCACCGCCGTACGTTCGTTACGGAAAATTGGAACCAAGAGCGCTCTTCTCCACCATAGGTTCAAGATGCATAACTAATAATTAGCCTGGAACTACTGGTTTGGTCACATGTAAGAGTGAAAGACAAAATATCACAAAAGTGCAATTCAAGGTGAGATTCACTTTTATCACCATGGTGGATGAATTTAGTGTTTCTCTATCCCAAGGGTGCTGTCTGGTTATTATACAATCAAGTACTGAACAACTGATGACTTCAGAAGTTACGCTGAGGTCACAAAAATCCTTAACCGCTCAACGAAAGTAGAAAGCAGGGTGGAATCTGTACCAGACAAGCAGTAATGTACAAAAAGAGCCTCGGTCAACGTTCATTCGTCCATCCTTCAGATGTGAAAAAGCATTGGCACGGAGATCTCACCATTCATTTTTGATCACTGTTCCCCATTTTACGGTTCAATGACTGTGGGGGGGGGGAACCTATGTTTGTGCCATCCCCCCCCCCAAGAAACAAGGCTTCCGACAAGAGAGCGATTTCAGATGAGCTATCTCTAAAGAGGACATTCAATTCTAGTTCTGAGAATAGACTTTTAACTTCATTATTCTCATTAGTATCGTTTCTGTTATGAATGTATACGTATGTTTAAAATGTGTTGTCATTAACAAGGCGTAGATTCGATTGCCCCCTGATATCGTCTCCATGTAAACGCGGCTGGTTACTGCTCAGTATTGCCGGATGCAATGGTGTGCAACTAGAAACGGAAGATCAGAGGAATTACAAACTAAAAGAGGAGGGGGAGGAATTACGAAGAAATTAAACAAAAATGAACGTTTTAAGCATAATCTGTAATTCGGAACCATCCGTAAGTCCAAATTAACCTTTAGAGCCTAATACTTGCTGAATCTTTCAAAATTCAGGTCTTCGGTAAAGCGGTTTTGGAGGGACGTATTCTGAACTTCCGGTTTCAGTCAATTCAAGTCTCAAGAAGTAGATCGGATAGCCAATTACTGGCTAATCATTGGCCAAACAATTCCAAACCAACGAAAGCGCGAATCTGAGTCGACTCAGAAGGATTTGACCAGATGATTTTAACCTTGGAATTCGATGACTACGATGATGGCCCCTATTCAACCTCCCCGTACTCGGTCGTAGAAAGTCCAGTAACTTGGTCAAACATAAGGCCATGCAACACTTGCGATGCAAGTTGCACTGCATTCTAAAAAGACCTCAAGTATAGGTCAAATCACAGCGACTAGTCTCTTTGTTTCATGCCGTTTCTTAGAGGCGTTGCGTCGTTTGCACACTCAACGTTAAGACGAACAATACAAGGACAAGTGCTCTGAAAGTGCGAAGACACTTGTCTTTTAGGTAGTGAATTTTGGAGCCCTTCATCAAGTTGGATGTCAAGCCCTTACTCTGCGCATCTTGCGCGACCTTCATGTAGGCGTTGTCTGTCTGCCTTAGGTCCAGGTGCCCTATTCAAAATCAAAGAGTATAAGGATCCCGGATGCTCACACATCATAGCGGGTAGATCATTCTGGACTGGTTGGCATTTCTGGCCAATACCGGGTTGCATTTGTTCCCATGATAACCGAATGTGGAATTCTTGTCTCCTGGACACCAACATCTCCAAAGACCTCGTAAGCTGGCTTCAAAGACCACCCGCTCAAATTTACCCTCATCTCAGTCTAGCCCCCAACACTTCCATACAACCATTTGTTCAAGGGTCAACTTTGCGCCCAAATGAAAATCGTTCAGCTGTAGCACTTTTTAGTGCCTACCTGTCATGCCACCCGAAGGAAGCACGAGGACTGAGATACTACCAGGTCTCCCAAACCTAGACGGGGAAGCCGAGAGGCAGATGTCGGGTTCGAACCACGGACCTTCCGATCAGTAAATTCGCGCTCCAACCACTGAGCCATTTCTCCTCCGACCAATTAGTTTGTCATCAAACTGGTTCCCAGCTCGACATTACGTTGAGAGTCGGTGGCTGAAAGGCTTTGAACGGTCCTCCAAAGAACACTAGATATTTGATTCTCAAGATTTTAGCACACAGCTAAAGATCTACAAACGGTAAACTCTGTCTATCTGAGTCCAGTGTGCTTCAAAATCTAAAATGAGGCTCTTGAAACGAAAAAAGCACCTACCAGACCAATTAAATCCTGGGCTCCATTAGTACAAGACTTTGGATAGCACCTGGTGGTAAGCAAGAAACAACGGGTGGTCATAGCCCACTCCTGTGCTTCCGAAATCCAAGTATCCCCCCGTGGTGTTGTCTAGGGATCTTACGATTCGCCTATCACTGACTGAGCTCCAAAATGACGTTAGATCCGATTTCTTAAGGAATTCCCTTGAAATCCCGTATTAAAAATGCCACACAATGGGTCGTGTTGACCCAACTTAACGCTAATCGAAGTCATAGAAAATATTGAACTTGTGCAGTTAAGGAAGTCGCGGGACGACCGGTACCTAGGCGTGAGGCAATGTGTTCAGCCTGGACTGATCGCGACTATTACCAAAGACCAAGAAAGATATTCCGCTTGGAATGCAGCGGCGCAAGAAGACGTCGCCTACGGGAGAAGCGCCCTTTGGCTGGAACACATCAGACGACCTTTAGATCACTTAGTCCATCGCCTCCATTTCAGAGATACCCTCATCCACATTGGATATCTCTGAAATCGCGCCATCGAAGGAGATCTTGGTTATAGTCAGCTGATTTGGTAATCGGAGATACTCAAACCCACACGGAAGTTCCGCATGCACCTTGACCCCTCTGGAATCTCTTCGTCAATTGCTTTACTCTGTCTGAAAATCAGATTAGTTCCCAAACCACTGGAACATCACAACTTTGCTACCGTTCCCGAAGTGCCACAAGACAGCCTTTGAGAAGCATCGGAGGTTTGTATGCCAGACATAATTACAGTACAAACCCTACCCGATAATATCAACCAAATCACCTGCGTCACCATCACGTACTTTGTACGAACGTTGTAGCATGCCAATAGGGAAGTTGTTGACCATTTCGGTTGTCATCCAAAGTCGAAAGTCCGGATGTGGCTTGGTTAGATCGTCCAACAGTTTCTCCAATGTGGGAACAAAACGGATCAATAGGTGACAGTTCTGCAGCAACAGCCAATTACCTCGCGCTGCACACTGAACAAACAGGTTTTCTGCATGCTGTAAAAAGAAAATGATGTAAAACGTCAGCACCTATTAGTCGCCTTTGCTGATTCATCTCAGCTGATTGGCAGGTGTTTCCCGACTCTCTGAATTTAAACAGATGAAACTAGCGCATTTAGCTTCCTTACCGAAATGCACTTAGCGAATCTAATGGAGAAATTAATTGCCCAGGTGCAGTACACTTTTGGTGTCTAGGTGACATGCCACCTGATGGAAACACCAGGGATGAGATTCTGCCAGATTGTCCCCAGCCTAAACAGAAGCAGTCGAGATGCCGGGGTTGACTTCGAACCCCGAATCTTCTGGTCGTTAGGTTCAAGTCTTAACCACCGAGCTATCCCGATCTCTAGCGGATCTATCGATTGCTACGGAACTTCATTTGGACCTTGAGAAAATCCCTTCACAAATCAAGCTCAACGAATTTTCCAACATTTCCAGCTTTACGAAGCTGTTGGTCTGTCTGACCGGTCAACAATGGTCACAAGTCTTCTTGAAGACACTCGCCTAGGTAGACCATCGTCTCCGTTTCGGCGATTTGGTCGTCATACTAGATAGGAGAACAAGGGTACTTGTCGCCATAGGTTAATAAATTCACCACTCATTCACATACACCGCCCGCGTGTTCATTGATTTTCACCTCGACAGTCACCTTGCTACAGCAGCTGACACTGGTTTTTTATTGTGTGTGTGTGTGTGTGTGTGTACGAATGAATGAGTTCCGTTCTTGCTCCATCCACTTGACTTGCTCTGACATGAACAGCCATTACACCCGTGTGGTCTGAGACTGATCTCCGGTACGACGATCGCGACCCAGGCTGCCGACCCACCGTTCCCCTCTTCATCTTCTGGTGCGCTGTGCAGTACCAATCAGTGAGAGTTGCGTACTTGTCACTCGGCGGACGCCGGCAATGTAGGTTTGTTGTCTACCTTGGCTTACTTATATATAGATAATTCCGTAGACTTTCGAACCCAATTCTTCAGTTTGATGTTCGAAATTCCTTACGAGAATTCAATAGGAATTCAGCCGAAAAACGTTCTTACGAGCAAACAGGTGGTGGGAAGCAGTAACTTGCCATATAATGAGGATAAACCGCATCTCCACTTCTCGGACAAGGGACAAACTTACATCTCATAAAGTAAACGGAGATGTATCTATGCTGATAATACAGTACGTAACAGTCCTCAGCACATGACCCTGCTGATAAGTTCCCTAAATTTGCTGGCACCATATTTGTCCAACCTGGACTAACTGAACAATCATAGTTAAAGACTTCAATTCGTGAGACTGGCTCAGAATAATGATCAGGGACCGTGTGAAAATCGATCAATCAACTTACAGGCTCCTGACCTTGACCCATTGAAAGGTACTTTATCCGTGTGTGTCCAAACTCTAACTGCTGTGCCAGATTTGCTAGCTGTGTTTGTGGATCTGAACCCGGCTGCACAATCAAGACGATGGGTGTGGTAGGGCTTGTGGAGGCCAAAACGTCAGCCAGGTTTGTGATCGGTGGATCTACGTACTGTCTGCCCAACACTTTGACAACGTAATGAACAATCGCCATGGGAATACGATCCATGCGCCAACAACGGATCAGACATAGACGAAGGAACGGGCGAAGTTTGGCGTAGCGCCCTGGATAGGGTTGGACCTCGGGGTTCTTCGATTCAAACCACTTGCATGGGAACAAATGTTAAATGTTACGAATGACTGGATGATAAAATATTGTGGTACACTTCAGCACAAGGTCTTCTAAGCCGTCAAAACACTACTGCTGATCATTTAGACAGCTTCAACCATTACAGATCCTGTTTTCTATCGTTGCCACCCATAAAGAACTCCTCTTAGGATGAAGCAACGTCGGACATAACCTAGCTCACTTGTTCTGGACCTCGTAAGCTGAAGGTGTGAAACTATTCGAAAGATTGTACTGCTAATTAAGATCATCGAGCTGGATATGGTCCTAAAAATTGTAGTGGTTCCAACTTGAACCCAAATTAGCACACTTGTTGGACAATGTCCAGTGCGCACCAGCCAAGCGGCAGTTCCAATAGATTGGACTGCCTACAATGTGAGACAGACTATTGCTCCCCACTTGAACAATTCAAAGAATCAATAAACCCATCACTACCAAGACACATTAGTTTACTCAGCCAGAGTTGAACGGACAAGCAACGAACGTGGTCACAGAATGATCGCATCCTTTAACCCATGATCACTTCCATAACATTATACGCATGCCTGCACAACTATCTGAAGGTTATCCGTTCATTGTATGCAATGCTTTGCGCTTAAAGTTCGCAGGAAGCCAAAAAACAGATCACGAACTAACATTGGAAAAGGTGCGAAAAATATGGTGTTGTATACCATAAGTGATTGACTGACTGAATGATTAACCTAGCCGAGGGCACAAGCCGTCACTTCGACTTGTATTTTCCCCTATTTTCTTGGCATGCAGCAGATTCGCCGAAATATGTAATTTAGGATCATTCCTACTTAGCTTAGTCATCCGCGGTGATTCTTGTGCGACCGATTTCACCTATCTACGATTGATTAAACGTCTCAAGAGCGCATAAGATGCGAGCGCTTGCAAGGTAGTCTAAAACCGAGACGGACGGTTCATCAACGGCTTGTCAACAATCCCCGTTAGCAGGTTAACTGGCAAACAAAAACACTGGAAGGGAATCATGCCGCTAAACTATAGAATGTAATAGTCAAGGCATGCTTTCTGGACCTAGTTGCCGTGTAATCTGTACCAAACGATTTGTGTCAAAACTTGCCTTTTTCCACTGATCGCCGAGAATGCGCATGTCTTTGGGGAGTTTGGAGAAGTATTTCGGGAGAAAAGCAGACATATAGATCAGGTCACGCCATACCGTATCCGGAATCCATGCATGCGGTGGTGGATGCAAATGATCGCTGAGAGCAACGTTGCCTCGGACAAGAAATGCCAGCTCTTTCAGGCGGATCATGTTTTCATCTTGTTGTAGACGTAAGGCGAGCTCAAACGAGAGCAGCATCTTGTGTTCCTCGAAAATACCTGACCGCAAAAGTTGCGAATGATTTCAGTGTGAGTAAACACGAAAAAATTGATTAATTGTCTTGTGGCCTTGAGATAAACCAGTGAATTCACATATTCACCTAGCTGTATTTTAAGTCCACTCGCTCAGCGCGACATGTATCAAAGTACTCAGCTTTGTTCAAATCAGCTTACCCATACAACCGTAGCAATAGGTAGCGTAGGTCAAGGCATTCTTGATATTGCTCAGTCGTTTTGGTAATGAACTGTGTGGCATGGCTTTCTTCAGTGCTTTGAGGAAAACGGTCAAGTAGGCGGAAAGGGAGAACTGATACATGGGACCAACCATTGCCAGATCGGCCAAGACGAAAAAGAGGATGGCACCTCGCCTGGTGAGAGAGAAAATTAGGAAGACTTCGGTTCATGAGAAGCTTCGGGAACGGCACCTATTCGTCACAGTCTAATTAAAAGCCGTCATTCTCTTCTCCAAGGAACGCGAACTTCGACAGTGAAGGTGCAAATAAAACAGTACCTTGCTGCGGGTCGAAATGCGTCTCGTTGACGCTCGACATCCTTCGATACAATGGCTCCTTGGGCGAGCTGCCTTCCAACGTCCACTGCCTTGTTTTTTGTGTCTTCAAGAGTACCGATTAGTTCCCAGTTGTCGAGAATATTCCCCGTCTGTGTTGCCAATTCCAAGAGTAGACGGTCCTCCAACTCTTTCAGGATGCGCTTGTTCTCACTACAAGACAAATAAAGTGGCTGGATTTGTAAGAATTGCTCCGTAAATGTTCAGAGCAAAATTTGCGGGAAGTCTATCCCGAGTGTCCGAGGTTTTAAACATGCGCCTTCTTCCATAACTGTATCCAGCTGTTTGTATGTGTGACGGTAGTTTCGTCTCAATGAAAGAGCATGTATCTCGGTCTGATCTCTGTTCATCTACCCATCTATGGAGCTAGCTATCCAATAAGTACTGTTTACTTTTCTATCAGCCAATCGCACATTCCGTCTGCCTTTGTCAACCAACGGTGTTTCTGCAGTAACATATCCGGTGATGCAACCGGGTTATGTTGTGATCACTCCGGTTGTCCCCCTAACAGCTCAAGACCAACTTAGTAAAGAGCACCCACAACGCATTTTTTTTTTCATTCAGTGCATCTATCAAATGCCGAGACGATGGCAGGAAAACTATGAATACTTACCTAGTTTCCAAAATGAGAGCCTCTCGGCGTTCCTCCAATTCCCGGTGCTCGTGTTTGACCAATGCACTCAACAGTTGGCCCTCCAGGCCAGTCAGTGTAACTGTATAGTTGATGATCAGAGCTCGGCTATACAGAGTGGTTGAGAAGTGTGGATTGGACATTTTTGTCACCAGGTAAAGTCGGAAGTTTGGATCGTACTCCACCTCACGGTCACCCAACATCACAACCTCACGGCCTTTGTCCACTATTTCAAGGTAAAGAAGAATTGCAGGGTTTTCCGTGAATTTAGTAAATTACATGGAAACCGAGCGCTATTCAAGAAAATCTGTTCTCGTTGTTTTCGTTTCTAATGGCATTTGAACAGGAACCTCCATCAAAACGAAGTGTCATGAACCTGTCCAAATCAGTCCATCAGGTATTGATTATTCAAATCGTTTATCTGACTACTTTCACAGAGATAAGTCGCGAGCTTAGAGTTTACAGGCTTGCAAGTCTACAGCTACCCAAACCGGCCGGTGAATACGTGGTGTATGATTGCTTTATCGATCTCACCTGGATCGACCAGATAAGTCCCAATAAATTCTGCACTTTTACGGAAAACGCTGGTCCCAAACCTGTCCAGATGACACATGTGTTTTCCGCCTTGTCCCAACCATCAAGCTGAAAGGAGATGCAAATTTTAAATGCATTACTGTCTGTCGACACTTATCACATGCAGGTGTACTTCGGGTATACTTCGGGTGTGTGAAAGGGTACCCAACTATGTGTCTCTGGTGCATTCTTATGAAGTCGACCATATCAATCGAGCCAATTCGCAGGCACAACGGGACCTAATGTTCAGTTACCAGTGAGACCTGATCGGACTCACACAGATGTATGTTGCCACATGTCCATTCTATTGTGGATTTGAACACCAAAAGACCCACCCGAAGAGAGATCCGTGGTAAAAAAAAATATGCAATTTATGAAGGCTGTAGAAATTAGGATAGACGGGCTGTGTCAACACCTTCAACGAAGCTGCAGCTAAACTCAAAGGATTGCCAAACTTACCTCGAATGTTTCGAGCGATAATGTTGTTCAGAGCAGGATCTATCGTCTCTTCCACTCCTTCGATTATACAGGCCAAGCCTTGCTTGATCGAATTTTCAACGGTTCTTAGGAAGTTTGGATCGTTTTGTGTGGTCACCTTAATAGGAAATAGACACACAGAAACACCGTGCAGCTGGCAATGGATAATCCGCCGGTATTCCACCAACCACAAGGTCAACGACGTCATCCTTGGCTTGACAATGTCAGACAGATGCTAGTTAGAAAACGCAACAAGCTAACCCCACTACCAGTTGTTTACGTCTAGCAGGAAGTACGTTTGGTGAACCAGAAGGTAGGTGTCTGTGCAAGCCCACATGGCCGGGCATTGTAATCTTAGCGTCCATGTGCAAATCAACGTTACACCAGATTCGCTTCTCAAGAGGAGCCAGCATTGCGCTGGCTTTTGTGTCAGGTCTGTGGATGACGTACCGCCGCTATCACAAAACCATTGATCTGATGTTTTATGTTAAGCCCCTTGCTAAAAGATAAGCGTTTTGAAAATAGTGACATTTAGACCGAGGCAAGATACTGCTGGGTCAAATTTTGTAGTCAGTCACTGTGATTCCGCTTCGGAGTGCGGGAATAAACAGCAGTTGTCTGCAAACAACAGGATACGCAAGCTCTATTTTCGCAGCAGCGTTTTGCCCAAGGGTCGCTCCAAAATGAGTAAATCCCAAAAGTAGTGAATTGGTATACCATCTTCGCTGTGGCTGAATTGGACTTAGGGTAAGAACAACCCCGCTTGCTCTTGTGTCGATTTCAAACTCGCCCCAGATTGTTATGCTGGCCCATAGGAAGGCTTTCATTACAGCATGGAAGCCAGGATTCATGTTGGTTCTCCACTGACTGAGTTGAAATCATTCGTGAAGCTCACAGGCAGCCTGTCGAGCGGTTGGTTCTTGAATTTATCTCGCGGTAAAATTCAAGTCAACCCTACTTTGACCAGTTCGAAATCCACACTGCTCTTCAATAATGCTTTCCTCCAGAAGACCAATGACTAGTCAGTTGAGCAGAATACGGGTTATGGCTTTGCCTGTTGTGCATAGAAGACTGATCCCGTCCTGGAAATCCATCTTCCGTCGACTTCCTTTTCCCTTTTACAGAGAAGCTTGTGCATAACAGGTGAAGAGGTTCGCCTTGTAATGTCCGTCTTCCCAGTCCGACAGTTCCGCAGACAAACACCATAGAGCCCCGCTACTCTCTCACTCTGAAGCCGGTTTACCGTCACCAGCGGTTCTGCAGCTGTAGATATATCGACCAAGTAGGTCTTTACTTTGTGCTAGGGCAGGTTGGCTACATGGCTCAAAGCAACATCTTTTGGTCGGTTGAATAGTCTCGGACAGTGATATTTCTACATAGCCGAAATTTGGTTAAGCTCGTCAATCCTTTCATTACTTTAATGGTCTTCTGTGATGAACTTTCGGTACATTTCTTTCATTCTTTGTGACAATGGCGATCCGCGTACAACTGGGGCTTTTCACTTCGTTTGACGAACCATTTTTCTCAGGTATTTCGCAAGCTTGGTCCTGAAGCTTTCTAGTTTATTTCTGACTGTCGGAACTTGGGTGAACGGCAAGCACTTCCCTTGAATCAAAGTAAATGCTGATGAGTCATTCGCATCAGGCCAATCTAGCCTCCGTTCTTCCTTTTGCTCAAATGGACCCACGGCTTCTGACTGTCTTCAGGTCCATTGGCTCTCGGATGTGCTTAGGATTGGGTCATTCACTAGCCTCTGCGTTAGAGCTTCGCAAAACCTCGGTGCAGTTTCCCGGTCCTTGAATGGTCCTTGCACGAGTCTCCTCTTGGTCCTTTATATGGCAGTTTTCCAAGGGCAACAAATACTTTGGAGAGTGGTTGCATTGCCTTCATCTCCAAGCATTACTTTTGCGACCAGTAAATTACCGATAACTCTGCCGCACAATGCTATAGTCCATTAGGAGCCTATGTCCTTTTCTTGGACGAGTTCACATGGCAAGCAGTGTGCGTCCCAAGGTGAACCACGTGTCTTCTATTGAAAGTTCCAGTGCTGCACACATTGTCCATAGTCTTCCACTGCTGTCTTTTATAGATCTATTTCTAGAAGGTTCCAGTAACCTCTAGGTGCGGAATTGATCGCCAAACTTAAATTTAATATCACCCAACAGGAAGAGGAAGTCTTCTGAAAAATGCACCTCATACTAGAACTGACAGTTGCCAGTGGGTTTTGTTCTTTTCCTTGTTTGTTAGTGGGGTGCTAATAAACGTGGCCAACTTTGTGCTGGCTGTAATTGTATAAATACATACGTCTCTATTCGCTTCGGTCATTGTGTGACGATATTCGTAAGCAGATCAATGTAGTTGCCCAGAACATCTGCAGAGGATCACCATTTTTAAGGGGAGATTTGATTGATGGTAGGATTTCAGTACACTGTTAGCTACCTTATTAAAGAGGGTCGTAGGTTGCCAGCTTGTCCGCACTTTACATCGCTCAAACAATGTTTGTAAATATCCAGCCGCTTTGGATTCCAAAATGGTGGTTTGTTCTCAGTAAGGAAGGAAGTTACCGGATTTCTGATGGTTCGTACGCTTCTTAAGTCGTCAGAAAAACAAATGAAAAGCATGCTCGTCAGCTTTGCACATCAATTGTGATATCTAATCAACAGCGGGCATAATCCCTAGTTTTCCTACGCCGGAAATACAGCGTTCCCTCTACAAATAAAAATTCCATCTGCAAAAAAATTTACACCGCGCATTCTTCATACTAGCTTCACCTTTTGAAAATCGAACAGGAAAAGCGTTACATTCACAATGTAACAAAGTTGTAGAAGGGTTTGTCATTTTCATCTGTGACCTTGACTCCACTTCCATTGCTAGACCAATCGGAGCGAACTGAGTTCTACTCACTTGAAACACGAAAAGATTCGACAATTTATCGTCAATCTGTGCCTGAGTGCAGCTTACATCATTCGATCACTGTGAAATGACAACAAGGCGGTTCTACTGATGGAATAACGGAACTGTTAGCCACTCAACAAAATGAGTCGTGGGAGAGAAAGATCGAGTACTCGAAGCATTACGAGTGCATGAGTTGATGCAATATCACATGTGACACAGTTGAAATGGAGTGATGACCAGAATTAGGGCAAAATGGTGCCCCTTCCCGGAACTACAGGGGATCAGCTGTAGTTTGCAATCTTGCATAACTCAAAAAATTTATTCCTGAAATACTAACAGTGTAGTCATTTGATGATTCTCATGTCTGTTTGTTGATTTCACGTCCAAACTACAAGCGGCACCAAAATCCATTCTTCTTGCTCCTGTCAGATCTTGGTTTCTTCCTGGGCCGAAGGTCGATTTAAGCAAGCTAGAAACAGCCAAGGTCCTACCAATACCGCCTCTTTTAAAGACGAAACATTCTAATCCTAAAAGACTGGTTGAGTGAAACTCACCCTAGCTGAGCGGGAGTCATCTTTTGGATTCCTTCCCATCTCTTTGATCCACCTCGAGGCTTGACCCTGTGGATCTATGCAAACCGGACAAGTTGGACCTTTGAGGGTCAGGATGGCGTTTTGTACACTCAACTCATCAGAAGGCAGACTTTGCGAATTCCACAGTGCAACTTCAACCTCAGTGGCCAGTATATTGTTCACCTGGAGATCTTCTGTCACTGGAATCTGGAAGAAAGTAATCAACACATCTTAAGAATTAACGGTGGACGGTAATATTGGGTCTCATGCATCCCCCATTCGACGTGGGAAAACTGCGTTCGTTCTCAACTGCAACAAATGAGCTCGCTGGTTTCGTTGTTTGTCTAAGGTGCCAGATAACGTTGAACCATCTAAACATTTTCAATGCCACTCACAAGGTCAATGGAGCCTCCGGACAGCCCGCTAACGGTTTTGGCCTTCTTGGGGCTCATCAGCAACACCAGTGTGTACGTAATTTGCGACAAACACTAATGTCGAACTAACCCGGTGTCAATGTAAAACCCCGTATTTATAATTTTACCCAACTAAATGTGCTGCATTGATGAGCAATAAGGTTGATGAGCATTCGGGGACTAGGCTTACCTGAAGAGCCCCAAGGGCGAAACCGTTGGTGAGTTGTCTAGCGTTTCCATTGACCTCACCAGTAGTATTGAAAGAGACTTTGATATCTTGAATATCGTTCCAGATGGAAAATGAGACAGCCTTTGTGAGGCACAACCATTTAAAGGATACTACAGTCGGTAACTTCGTGAATGTTCAAACACCTATTCCGAAATAGCGTGACACTATTGTGTTCGTCACTCTTTGTCTGTTCGAGACTCTTTGATACCAAAACAATGGGATTCTGCGATGTTTCCCACGTTCAATGAGAGCGGTACGTGGAAGTCACTCCAGTAAACCTTACCGTCCGGCTTGCAGTGCCATGGGATAAGTCACCGATTGAAAGCCTTGCTCCAAAAGGTGCCACAGGGGGCGTCGAAATTCTAAGATCCAAACCTTAGTTACAAAAAACCTGCTGTTACTCAACAAAGCGAGATACAGTACCCCTCTTCCTGAAGAATGACCACTCAGAGAAAGCAACCAAACTGGCCTTATTGCGAGAATGATACCCCCTGTGAGGGGGGCACCCTCTTATCGGCCGTCAGAGTACATAACGAGTTAAATGTCTCAAACGTTGACAATATTGCAATAGTACTCTAAAATTGATTCATTTCCAGCCTCCGTTATAACGCCTGCAACACAGCATAAATCCCCTTATAAAAACCATTCACATCGTCCACCTGGGTAAAAGTCAGGAAAACTTTGTTTGGAATCCAAACCACTTGAACACAGACCAAGCACGATGCCACTCAGTGACAAACGTTTACCTCATTTTGAGGTCAGATCCCTTTGTATCCTGTTTGATAAAGTGACATTAACGGAATGGAGTCTCTAATCACATTCTATCCACTATCTAAAGACCATGGGAAAGCACAGGATCTTGAAGACGATACAATGTTTAAAGCGGTGTTCTCGTACTATGGATAACATACCCTGATGGACGCATGAAAGGAACAGCACCGATTGAAATCTGAGGATAAAAGGCTGCGGAAGTGTTTGCATGACAGTCACCACGGTAAGCACAAACAGCCACGGGGAATAAAGTGGCCAAATGACCGAAGCATCGGCTTGAAATTAACTGACAGTATCTTATCCAACTGCTCTCTAGAAAGCAAAATCTGCGTGATGAATTCCTTATTTTCTCATGATTGGCGAGATTTTCCAACATTCGTCGCAGTATGTCCGGTTTATTGACTATCCCCCTTCAGACAGACCTAATGTACTTAATTGGATCCGCCCTCTATTTCTGCGTACATGATCACTGATGGTGTACTTTAGAATGGCCTTGAATCTACTTGCATACAACATGCAAATGGTTTAAGCCCATGAATGCACGATTCCCAATTTTGTCAAAAAATACTGAATGCACCAGGTCACCTGGATTCAATCACCAATGTCCTCGTTTGGATTCAATTTCTTTGGAACGACCTGCCAATCTAATTATTCCCTGCAGCACGAGACTAGAATATTCCATGGAGTTGGCATCGGAGAACCTTAGCACGAAAACCTTGCCTAATAACAGATAGGCTTTAAGGGTCCCAAAAATGACTTCCGCAATCCCCGGGTCATTGCTTTTTTTTTAAATCACGTCAAAGAAAATGTACGGATCAACGCCTTCCAAAAAATTGTGGAGGTAAGTCAGTTCGTCGGCTGTTTTGTGCTACTAAGCACCAAGAATGAAGGTGTCCTCAGAATTAAAGAATTTTGAAGTGTCCCGAGAGGTGTGTAAACCCGTTTCGTCGTCCTTCAAGAAACTGTCCACATTGTTACGGCTAATTTATCTATGTTGTAAACGGCTTGTCGAGACAAATCCGCCCTGGAGTTCGTCCATCAATCACCCGCACCTTTTGATCAAATGACTCGGTTTTCCACCCCTACCCTCCGACAGCCATTGCTTTGTCCACCCCAGTGACTGAGCCACCAATGGCGCAAACCGCTTTGTTCCAGCTTGATAGACCTAAGCGGGGGCAACAAGATAAGGTCGCAGTCATCGTGAGCGGACCCGTCGACCAGCGATTGACCTTATCACATAGTACCCGATCGCACACGGGCGGGCGGTAGCACGTGCCATGCTGACCTTTACAATGTTGCCGAAGCGATCAGCTGAAAGAAACAGTCGCTGCGTTTCACGGGTGGCTGAACCGATTTCCGGAGGTCTCGACTGGTGGACCAAACAAATGCATCCTAGCCCGTTGTGCGGACTGAGGCTGAAAGACATCTATCTATAAAATAAACAAAGACAAACGCAAACAAACGCTGATTTTGAAGTGTTCCTTCAAAGAGTAAAAGCTAAGCGAGAGGGTCATTGTTTGTTCGGTTAAATGCAACAAAACATCACACTAACTAGTCGGGAGAATGACGAAACTGAGGTTAACGCCAATGCATCACTTAGTGTTCGGAGCAGTGATGCGACGGAAATCAAATTCACCCAATTGCTCTGGAAAGTACCCGGAAAAATCATACTAAGGAATGACAGAAACGATAGAAGATTTGGTTGACGGAAACTCGGGAACTGCGCCTACCTGATGAGCCCCAAGAAGGGCGAAACCCGTCGTGGGCTGTCGAAGAGTTTTCAGCAAACTTGTGGGTAGTCTCCTTTGTGAAGATATCCGGGACTGTTATTTTTTTCTATTACGTTTAGGCTTTTTGTTCCTTACCATGGATGAATCCAAGCAAACTCCAGCGAAAATTGATGTTAGCGCCTCTGGTCCTGTTTTTACCCAAACCACTTATCTGGTGGACCTGTTATTTCATAAAATTTAAAATCCTGCATGACAGACGGGAAGTTCAATTCGATTTAACTTGTCCATGAACAATCGCCTCGACAACATCCGGAGAATCGGACCTGTTATTTCATAAAATTTAAAATCCTCCATGACAGATGGGAAGTTCAATTCGATTTAACTAGTCCATGAACAATCGCCTTGACAACATCCGGAGAATCAGCTGATGACTATATTCGGTGGGGCGAGATGGCTCGGTAGTTAAAGAGCGAATTTACTGACCAGAAGGTACGTGGTTCGAACCTCACCTCTGGCACTCGACTTCCTCTGTCTACGCTTGGACAACCTGGAAGTATCCCAGCCCTCGTGCTTCCTTCGGATGGTATGGCAGATGGGCACCGAAAGGGTGTTACAGCTGAACGATTTTTTCCATATTCCGATTAAGACTTCATCTGGTTAACCGAAATGTCTGAATCTCGGGGAGATATCCCAATGGGCCCTAACACCAGAGCCGAGACCTTTGTTGACTGAAACTCCCTCATAATAGTGCACATTAAAGAGGGTGTCCAATGAGCTGCACTCTCCTTCTAAAATGCATCAGAAGGTATCAGGTGCACAGTGAATGCTTGCCGTTCACTAAAGGTCGAGTTTGGAAGATTAGTTCACCCAAACCCCACAGCGGTCAGTTCCAAACGATCTTTGACAGTTGGAAGAAACTTACTTCGTCCTGCATCATTGGAACAAGCCACTCTTTGTAAAGTAGACGGCTACGAAACTCCGATGTGAAAGGACCCAAGTAACAAAGAAAAGCTGAAGCGATCAGGCTGTCGCCCAGAAGACTTTTCTGCTCCTTTTTCAGATTGGCCACTTCACGAATCCATCTGAAACAGTCAGTAGATGCGTTTGAAGACTTCAGTATTGAAAGTGATGTATCGAGAAAAGGTTTGAAGACGTAAACACTGGAACTCAAAGTATTTCATGCAAATGTAGAAATCTGGCGACGAACATTACATCAGTGCTAATCTGACGGTAAGGTTTGCAGAATCTGGTGTGCATGTCACTGATGAGTTTAGTAGCATGGAACAGTTGCAGATTCCCTTTTCAATATTATCAAAGACCTCGTCCAAACTACTACCACCCTATGACAAGATGACCATGCCCGGCTTTTCGATTGCTCGTGTTTAGACTTGGGTAACCTGGCAATAATTCAGTTCGTGCACTTCATTTTGATTGCAATTCAGATGGTTGCCACACCTGGACAGTTATTTTTCCATACGTTTTTCCCCAGGGAGCGAAACTGGCAGCTTGAACCAACCTACCTTGGCTACCCGGCTGATAACTAATCAAATTAGCGAATCGTGCACTCAACTTCCCATTCAGATACACAGCTGTGAACTGGTCTTTAGTGTTTGCTCCTTAATCCAGAGCATGGAACGGAGCGGCGCTCCCCCCGGAGAAGAGTTTCATTTTTAATTAAGGGGTGTGTGCCACATTTTCACTTTGTACTAAACATATCAACGGCATACTTGAAGTCGTAGGTACAGGTTAAGGAGTTGATCATCTTAAGGTCGGGCCAATATGTGAGAAGCGGCGCGAGATGGCTCAGTGGTTGGAACGCGAATTTGCTGACCCAACCTCTCCCTCTCGACTTCTCCTGTCTACGCTTGGACAACCTGGAAGTATCCCAGCCCTCGTGCTTCCTTCGGATGGTATGGCAGATGGGCACCGAAAGGGTGTTACAGCTGAACGATTTTTTCCATATTCCGATTAAGACTTCATCTGGTTAACCGAAATGTCTGAATCTCGGGGAGATATCCCAATGGGCCCTAACACCAGAGCCGAGACCTTTGTTGACTGAAACTCCCTCATAATAGTGCACATTAAAGAGGGTGTCCAATGAGCTGCACTCTCCTTCTAAAATGCATCAGAAGGTATCAGGTGCACAGTGAATGCTTGACGTTCACTAAAGGTCGAGTTTGGAAGATTAGTTCACCCAAACCCCACAGCGGTCAGTTCCAAACGATCTTTGACAGTTGGAAGAAACTTACTTCGTCCTGCATCATTGGAACAAGCCACTCTTTGTAAAGTAGACGGCTACGAAACTCCGATGTGAAAGGACCCAAGTAACAAAGAAAAGCTGAAGCGATCAGGCTGTCGCCCAGAAGACTTTTCTGCTCCTTTTTCAGATTGGCCACTTCACGAATCCATCTGAAACAGTCAGTAGATGCGTTTGAAGACTTCAGTATTGAAAGTGATGTATCGAGAAAAGGTTTGAAGACGTAAACACTGGAACTCAAAGTATTTCATGCAAATGTAGAAATCTGGCGACGAACATTACATCAGTGCTAATCTGACGGAAAGGTTTGCAGAATCTGGTGTGCATGTCACTGATGAGTATAGTAGCAAACTACTACCACCCTATGACAAGATGGAAGTCATGTATTGTGATTGTGTTAATGCTAAGAATTTATCCATTACAGGCAAAACTAGGTAACTTCCGCTGGTCTTTGGTAAGTAACCTGTGCCTTAATGCAGTATGCGGATAACGCTAGAGCCCTGAAAGAGGGAAAGATAAAAACAATGAAGATTGGTGATAATAGTTTGCTCTCAGAAGAACCAACAATCTCACCGCAGCCGTTTTCTCGTAAACCGCCACTAGTTGGTGGTTCGGCCCTTTCGACAGACCAGTTTGTATCGAGTAGCATTCGATGCTTACCGTTCTTTCTCAGAACCCAACCCTTCCGTCAGCTTTTGAGCAGCCATCAGTTGTCGCCTCATCACGTCCATTTCCTTCTTCAAATTCTCCATTTCAGTCTGCGCTGCACTGAATTGACGCCGCAAGTTAAACAGTGTCTCCTCCAATTGGACCACTTCTTCTTGCAGACGTTGCAAGTCCCGTCTTGCCCTATTATAGTCTCTTTCCAAAGCTTTGACACGTTCTCGTTTTGGGCGAACCTCGCGAGCAACATCGTGGAACGTAATGACAGCCAACACAAACTTGTAAAATCCTCCACCAGCTTTGCTTGCCGACCGAACATCATCATATGTCATTTTACGCTTTGCAATCAAATCTGTAAGGTTACGGTCAAGTGCAACCGATTAGTGCCAAACATTGTATGGAAACGATTTCAGAAACTGACGCTGTCTAGCAATAAATACAGTTGTTAATCTTCTACATTTTTGTAACCAACTACTGACTGCTTATCAGGTTTTCTAATCCTGAAAAAGTAATATACTGACCCATGTCAAAAATTGTCCATGGGACCTGGTCAAATTGGTTTCTTTGGTATCTCTGTTCGGAAGAACCAAGGAGATTCCCTGCCTAGTTGGCAGTTTGTAGCCTTCAAATCAAATGACCAAATTAGGAAAGAACCAGCGGGGTTAACAACATTTAAATTTACTTGTATCCGGTCTTCCGACAATGGATGATCAATAGTCGGCACTACTATCGAGTGAAATATTCATTGTTCATGAAATCTCATCAGCTGGGGGACCGTTTCTTTAAACCGGTATGTGATTCGTACAAGTCTGCCTCATCTTTAAGTTGCCTTACCGATTAACTTTAGTTATTTTATCACGAAAAGATCACTTATTGACATAACCATATCCCCGTTTATTCTTGGCTTTAATCCTGTGATCGTGTATGTTGTCAGTACTTTGATAAGAGTTCTGGAAGCGGACTTACTGGGCACTGTCGCGGCGTAATAAATTAATAATTTTTCTGCAGTCCGCTTTCACAAAATAGAATGTACTTGCGTGGTTTCATACGGTTTTTTGCGCGACAAAACCCTTGAAAATCAAGAGTATGTCCGCAGTTGTTCGAAATGCGCGTCCACTCTTGGCATCATTGAAGTCTTGTAACCGTTGGTCCAATANTCGGCACTACTATCGAGTGAAATATTCATTGTTCATGAAATCTCATCAGCTGGGGGACCGTTTCTTTAAACCGGTATGTGATTCGTACAAGTCTGCCTCATCTTTAAGTTGCCTTACCGATTAACTTTAGTTATTCTATCACGAAAAGATCACTTATTGACACAACCATATCCCCGTTTATTCTTGGCGTTAATCCTGTGATCGTGTATGTTGTCAGTACCTTGATAAGAGTTCTGGAAGCGGACTTACTGGGCACTGTCGCGGCGTAATAAATTAATAATTTTTCTGCAGTCCGCTTTCACAAAATAGAATGTACTTGCGTGGTTTCATACGGTTTTTTGCGCGACAAAACCCTTGAAAATCAAGAGTATGTCCGCAGTTGTTCGAAATGCGCGTCCACTCTTGGCATCATTGAAGTCTTGTAACCGTTGGTCCAATATCTTCCCAACCATCGAATCTTCCTCGACAGGGACAAAATACTGAGATAATTTCCTCAAATACTCCTCAAATACTGTACACAACTGCTGTGAAGTGATTGATGGCTGCAGTCTATCGTCAAAACCAACTGCGAGACCATGCTCCCAATCGAATGTTCATGTCGGTCGCATGATCAGTTTTAGGATACCTCTGATTCAACACAATCAAGGATTTTTGGGATGCCGTGAGAGGAAACCGCAACTGCACTCATGCGTTTAGTGTGATTACGTGAACTGGTTCTTGTTTATTTGACCCCGAAGCCTTTATGTCACTTATAGTCTCATAAAGGAAACTACTCACAGGGTTGCTGAAAACTCTTCGAGAGATTCAGTTGAGTCT